CTGCTTCTGCCTCCCTAGTGCTGGGATTAAGTTCATGTGCCAACTTGCCTGGCCCATGTTTTTTTATTTTAGATAAATGGATTCATTTGCAAAATGTGATCATCCTGTTTTAAAAGTCTTTTTTTAAAAAAAATAAGCTGGGCGGTGGTGGCGCACGCCTTTAATCCCAGCACTCGGGAGGCAGAGCCAGGCGGATCTCTGTGAGTTTGAGGCCAGCCTGGGCTACCAAGTGAGTTCCAGGAAAGGCGCAAAGCTACACAGAGAAACCCTGTCTCGAAAAACCAAAAAAAAAAAAAAAATAAATAAATAAAATCCATGCTTAATCAGCCAAAATTAAGATCACTCATTTTTCTATGGAGTTAGAATTTTTTTTTTTTTTTTTTTTAAAGAAAGCATAGAATTAATCTGAAGATAAAAGAACCAGGATAAGCTGGGCGGTAGTGGTGTACACATTTCACTGTATGCAAAGTATACTTAAATGAACTTGGTTTATAAAAGTGAAATTCAGCCGGGCGGTGGTGGCGCACGCTTTTAATCCCAGCACTCGGGAGGCAGAGCCAGGCGGATCTCTGTGAGTTCGAGGCCAGCCTGGTCTACAAAGCAAGTTCCAGGAAAGGCGCAAAACTACACAGAGAAACCCTGTCTCGAAAAACCAAAAAGAAAAAAAAAAGTGAAATTCCTTGTGGTCTGTGGCCCGGGTTCTGGAGACCTGGGGACAGTTGCAGAAGCACTCACAGGGTTCAGTGTCAGGGACGCATTTACTCTGTCGAGATAGAAAAGAAGGTTGTAGTGGAGAAACTCTAAGATGGACCGGGCTTGCTTGGTCGGAGCATGCTGAGTACGGTGTGGTGAGCCAGCATCCTCATCTGTACAGTGGAATTGGTAATTTCCTGCCCTCCAACCTGCCAGGCTTGTAGTAAAGAGTTAAATGACAAGTTAAAGGACGAAACACTTTTCGGATTAGAAGCTTAAAAAAAAAGACCAAAGGCTTTGCTTGTACCCACTTGTAGTTGATTTTACTCTCAGGAATGTTCGGAAGGTAGGTGGGGAAGGTGGGTGATGACTCTGAACGCAGCTTGTTCCAGCCTCTCACTTCCGGCTGTTGCCAAGTGCAACACAAATCTGTGTGTTGTACTTACTATTTGGTGAGCTCCTGTGGGCCCTAACTCTGTGCCAGGCTCTGGGTGGTATGCTGTGTTGGATACACTGGTAAGTGTGATTTGGTCCCTACTCTTTAAGGCACGGACCCCTGTGATATAAGACAATATGAAAAATGCCATTCGGGAAGCCAGGCCCAGTGCTAAAGGAACAGAGTTCAGAGCAGTTCGTTTTAGCCTGGGCCTTTGCAAGAGTCATAGAAGCCAGCAGCATTCTGGGGCCTGGTGTGCAGCTCATCTCTAGGATAAGCCTTTTTTCCAGCACTGTCACATAACGAACAATTATTTGGTGCAAGGGACTGTGCAAAAGGTCCATAACTTAATTTGTCTTGGGCCTGCGATTGTCTTCATTTTCCTGTGCGTTAAAGAAGTTCTGTGTTTGAATCCCGGAAGGGCAGAATGCAGGTATGAGTGGGTCACTGTTTTGCATTGCTTCACTCTTGGATGACATCAGCAGTAAACAGCCTGTGACGTCAGTGAGATTGAGGCGACCAATGAAGTGACCCTGGGCTCAGGGAAGCACAGAGGAGCTTTTACTGCCAAGATCATGCAGCCCCTCCCGTGAGTAACTGCTCTGGCTCTTTCTTGCAGTTACGCTCCCCACTCCTGTATTCAGTTCCCTGGGTAAGCCAAATTCCGTAACACTTGCCTCCTACCCATCTCCAGTCACTCTGCCTCTGCTGCCGTTCCTGTGGCTCACAGAGAATGGCTCTCAACAAAGGCCACCGAGAATGAGCCTCACTCCCGCTAACAGACTGTAGAGAGGTTGGTGTTGCCCCTGGGAATCAGCTGCAGAGTAGAACTGTTTCCTTTGTCAGACAAGCTGCCTGGAACTCGCTCTCCTCCATAGTGCTGTGTAGGCCAGCTACAACCGGAGGTGACTGAATCAGAGACGCTTGTGCCCTGTGGCTACGTCTGGGGTAGGCCTGTAGGGTAACAGGTGGCAGACAAAAAGCTTTGTATTCCCTTTTAGGTAATTAAACAGCCTCCTACCCCATGTCCTTAAAGTACACATTCTGAGCTGGGTGTGGTGGCACAAGCCTTTAATTCCAAAACTGGGGAGGGAGAGGCAGGCTAATCTCTTTGAGCTCAAGGCTAGACCAGCAAGGGCTGCATAGTAAGACCTTATCTCAAAAAAAAAAAATTACTTAAAAAAATGAATAATAAAACCATATCTGGTATGTCTTTCTCAGAGCATGCTGGGTGTACAATTTGAGTGTCTGAAATGTTTTTGAACAGTGGGGTAGTTTAAGAAGTAGTAGGCTGTTAATCCTAGCACTTGGGAGGCAGAGGCAGGCAGATCTCTCTGAGTTTGAGGCCAGCCTGGTCTACAAAGTGAGTTCCAGAACAGGACAGCCAGGACTGTTACACAGAGAAACCCTGTCTCAAAAAAAAAAGGAGGCCAGGCGGTGGTGGCGCACGCCTTTAATCCCAGCACTCGGGAGGCAGAGCCAGGTGGATCTCTGTGAGTTCGAGGCCAGCCTGGGCTACCAAGTGAGTTCCAGGAAAGGCGCAAAGCTACACAGGGAAACCCTGTCTCGAAAAAAACCAAAAAAAAAAAAAAAAAAAGGAGAAGAAGGAAGTGGTGGTGGTGGTGGGCTTGCCTTACTGTTATTCTTATAAGGAACTGGAATGGCCTTTCAAATGTGTAGAAAATGTCTTTCTAGTCCTCTACCCATGTTTGTATTAGCTGAAGCAGTTCATGGGGAAATCAGAATAATGGCTCAATATCTAGAATGTGTGAAGAACTACTGTAACTCAACAATTGAACAGCCCAACTTAAAAACAGGCAAAAGACTTGAGTAGACACTTGGCCAGAGAAAATATACAAATAGCTAATAACCTCATGAAAACATGTTTAACATCACTAATCACTAGAGAAATGCAAATCAGAATTACAGTGAGATACACCCAGACCTATCAGAACGGCTGTTGTTCACAGATAAATAAGTAAGCAAAGCAGAAGAGTATTGAGCAGCTGCAGAGAACTGGACCCTGTCTTCTGCCGGCAGTGATGTCCTGTGGTCCACTGCTGTGGAAATAGTGGCCAGCAAAGGGAGTTGCCATAAGGTGTAGCAGTTCCATCTGGGTCTGCACTCAAAGATCTGGAAGCAGGGACTCGAGTATTTGTACAGCTATATTCATGGCAACTTTATTCCCAATACCTAAAATGCAAACAGCCTAAATGGCTGTTGACAGGTGAACGGCAAATAGAATGTGGACTACCAGAGGCTGAAGGAGGTGGATTAGGGGTTAACTGCAGAGGATCTGAGTTCAGTACCCAGCATCCATGTGAGGCAGCTCATGGCCACCTACAACTCTAGCTCCAGGGCTAGATCCAGCACCACCTTCTGGCCTCTGCAGGCACCTACGTGAGTATGGACGTACTCAGACACAGAGGCATAAACATATACATAAATAAAAACCTTTAAAAATGTGTGTGTGTGTGTATGCACAATTGTAATATGTCTATATAAAGATATGAGCTTGGCATGGTGGCACACACATTTAATCTCTGCACTTAGGAGGCAGAGGCAGGAAAATCTCTGTGAGTTCGAGGCTAGCCTGGTCTACAAAATGAGTTCCAAGACAGCCAGAGCAGTTACACAGAGAAACCCTGTCTCAAAAACAACAAAACAAAAATATGAAAGAGAGACAGAGAGCGCACAATCACGCCTTCCTGAAAGGATGTATGAGTTGGGGGTTGAGGAGGCACAGGGGACAGGGTCTTACTGTGTAGCCCAGGCTGGCCTTGAGCTTGAATTTCTTCTGCCTCAGCCTTCTGAGTGCTGGGGCTACAGGTGTGCACCACCATGTTTAGCTCTACTGTTTAGTTTGGGTTTTCCAAGACAGGGTTTCTCTGTGTAGCCCTGGCTATCCTGGAACTCACTCTGTAGACCAGGCTGGCCTTGAACTCACAGAGATCCACCTGCCTCTAGGTATGCTCCACCAACACCTGACTACTGTTTAGTTTTAAAAAGAAAGGAGATTCTGATGCATGCTACAACATGGATGAACCTTGAAGACATGCTAAGTGAAATAAGGCAGCCACAGAAGGACTAGATGCTATAAACTTCCTCCTCCATGAGGTCCCTAGCCTAGTCAGAGTCAGAGACAGAAAGCAGAAGAGTGTTGTTAAAAGCCAGAGGACGGGAATGATAGGAGTTGGGGTTTCCTGGGTAGAGCTTCCGTTGGAGAAGATGAGAAGTTTCTGAAGATGAGTGTTGGTGATGGTTGCACCATGGGAATGCACTTATTGCCACTGGCTAATCACTTAAAAATAGTTTAAATGGTAGCTATGTCTATTTTACCACAATTGAAACAATGGTAATGTTTTTTAAATGAACATTAAAGACAGCTTTTAAGAGGAATGGAAGCCTCAAACTGGTATTCTATGGCCCACTTAGAAGATTAGAGCAGCAATTCAGCCTTGTTGGCTGAGGGCCTGGGACTTTATGGGATTCAAGGGCTTATGTGTCTCCCCAAACTTCTTTACACCACCTGGTATAACTATCTTTTCTTCTGTGTTACTGCCCAGGTGCCTTGTAGCTCTTACCCATCCTGTCCCCTTCCCCTGCCCTCCTGCCCCCCTGCCCAGGTGGGCAGTAGTGGTAACACTGGTGGCCTTACTTTCATGGGGCATCTGTGCCCAGCATGGTAATTTTCCATTCCAGTCCCGTTCCAGTGTCTTTCTTCTTGGTTTTGGGGGGTGCATAGCAGGTGTCCTGGGACTGTGCCAGCAGCAGCTGATCTACTGCCCCAGAGAGCCGAACACTAGGAGGAAATTTCCACAGCTTTTAGGGCCCCTGTTCTCAGGAGTGACTTTCCCTCTGTTCTCCGTAGGTTTTCTTTTCTTCTGCCTGCAGTATTGCTGTGGATGCCACCCTGAGGAAGAAGGCGGAGAAGTTCCAAGCCCACCTGACGAAGAAGTTCCGATGGGACTTTGCTTCGGAGCCTGAGGACTGTGCCCCGGTGGTGGTGGAGCTCCCTGAGGGCATCGAGACTGGCTAACTGCAAATCCTGAAGCCAGGGAGACCCCTTCCCACGTGGCTACTACCCATTTTCTCCGCTCATCCATCTGTCCTGGGACCTTCCAGCATAGTGATCCAGTCAGGTCCTGCAGAGGTGGAGCCAGTAAATGCATCCCTCTTCACCAGTAAATGCATTCCTTTGCTGAAAAGTGGGGCATTTGTGGTTCCCTTATCCTGGCCCTGGTGCTTAATTTCAGAAAAAGGCCCTTTCAGAAGGTCCAGGTGAAACCTGTCCCAGCAACAGTCTGATCCCTTCTGACAATGAGAAAATGAACTTTCAGTCTAAAAGACTAGCTGCTTATTCCATACCTGGTTCAAAGAAGAAAGAAGAGACCTGGTCCATCCGTGGTGTTAGTGGGTGAATTTCTAAGTTAAATGTAGGTTTGAGGTTGAATGTGGTTGTACAGGATTTCTGCCTGCTCCTTGTTGAATGGGAGGAAGCCTGCCAGGAACTGGGCCTCTGAGCTCTCAGGAGCCCAGCCCGAGGAAGGCTGACAGGATGATGGCTCACTGAGTCTGACAATGGTCAACTTCAGCATCCTTTCCCGAGGCCCCTCCTGCCTAGAAGCCCCAGGGGTTGATGTCCCAGAACTGGCCTCTGGTCTGGGGCTTCCATTTTGAAGCCTCACACTCTCAGGAGGGACACAGAAGCCTTCCTTCCACATGTCCCCACTTTTTCACTGAGGCCATTGTGACTTTTTCTGATGACATGGAAATCAACAGCAAAAGGAAAAGTTCTTGTCCCAAGTCTGTTTCTTAGGCCCTGTTAGAGGTGGGCCTTTTCTTCAGAGCCCTGGAGATGCGGGGTGGCGTAACTTCCCAGCCCTGCTGTGGGGCTGCCCTCACTCAGTGCTGTCACGTTTCTGGGTTAGGGAGTCTCGAGGGCACACCCGTTGTGCTGTGTGGGCAGAGTTCTGCCTCAAGAAGGCTCCCAGGCCCTCCACCCTGACCTCAGGCCATTTGCTGTGCTCTGGCCTCCTGGTGCCGTCCTCTTCTGGGGCTCAAGCTCCCAGCAGGACGTGGAATGAGAGTCTGTTGGTGCCTCTTGTTTCCTTGGAGATTTTTTCCAAGAGCAGAATGTACATTAAAGTCTTTGAGTTGGACTAATCCGCCTGTGTGAGTCTGTAACAGCTAATCTGCCCAGTTTCCAGAGCAGCCAGGCTGCTGTCCACAGACAACACATCTACCTGCAGAGCACACCCGGAAGACCCTGCTCAGCCCCACAGTCTCTGGAGAAGGCAGGCAGACGGCTTTGCCTCTGTTTCCAGTGAGACACACACCCTGTAGCTCTGTATTAACCTGAAGTTTCACCTTGTGGGAAATTGCTATTCCTTTTCCTCAAAGCCCACTCGTCAGAACTACCTGGGGAGTGTGTTCACAGTGTAGATCCCAAGAAATGAAGTGCTAATGGACTTGTGTCCAGGGCTGGGGAGATGGATCAGTGGGTAAGTGCTTGCTGTGTAAGGTCCCCAGAACTCACGGAAAAGCCAGGGGCAGCAGTGCACAGCTGTAATCCCAGTGCTGCCGAGGCAGGAGGATCCCAAGGGCCTTCTGAGCAACAGGTGAGTTGGTAAGCTCCAGGTTCAGTGAGAGGCCCCCGTCTGTGGAAAGTGATAGAAGAAGACATCCAGTGTCAACCTCTGACCTCCACACACTTGCACACAAATGTACCCAACACATGTGCCACACATTCACAAACACGAAAATAGCATGTGCTGAGGGAAGGAAACAGAACAAGAAAATACCCAGAGTAGCCAGATCCACGGGGTGAACGAAGAGGACCGCCAGCAGTGTAGACTTTGAAACTGGTTGGTGGTGGGACACTTGGGAAAGTACTAATGCCCATCTTGCTCCACAGGCTTCAGGGGCTTGAGTTCTGAGGCACACCCAGTTTTGAGTGACTTTTTTAAGCAGTAACACGTCATACTTGATGCCCGGAGCACCTCTGGGACAAAATTTGTCTCACACCGTCATTGTGAAGGGTAGCACCTTGAAGTTGGATTATTCCCCAAGTGGCCCTGTGTCTCCCCAGATGCCCCTCTCTGTATACAAGAGTAGCTGCTGTTTGAAAAATGCTCTGTTGTGTTATTCACTTAATCCTCACAGCGGTGTGCAGCGAGTCTGTAACCGTCAGTTAGCCCCATTTGGCTCGTAGGAAAATGAGCTCAGAGAACATGGCTCTGGCAGGGCCACACAGCAGTAAGTATCGAGGACAGGAGTCAAGCCCATGCTCACTGGCACCCATAGCCCACCCCACTGTGCTGTCTTCACAGATGATTTACCTTCTGCCTTTTCTGTGTAGAGCAGCCTTCCCTCCTTCCCCTGCCCCAGGTCCCAGGCTTGGCTTTGCTGACGAGCAGCTATGTGACCGTGGACAAACTGGTTTGGGGGCCTAAGTCTCCTTATATAGGAGAAAGTTAGCTTGGATTTGGAGGTTCTGATACAAATTTTCCAGGGTCCTCCAAGTGTTAAAAGTTGGCTCTGTGTTATTTTACAAATTTCAGAAGGGAAATGACATTCGTACAAGGCAGTATGTCTGGGGCATGAAACAACAGGTCTCTTGTTTGAAGCAGAAATGATAGAATGTTGAGTCTTTGCATGTCCCAATCAGCAATCCTCTGTGTCTGTCTCTGTCTGCGGCTCGCTCTTTCTCTTTCTTTGTGTGTGTGTGTGTGTGTGTGTGTGTGTGTGTGTGTGTGTGTGTGTGTGTGTGTTTTTACATGAGTATGGAGGTCAGAGGACAACCCTGAGCAATCGACTTTCTCTTATCCCCATGTTGGCTAAGGGATCAAACTCAGCCATCCTGTTTGATGAATAAAGAATCTGAAAACAAGTTAGTTATTATTTAATGCTTGCAGGATTTATGGAAGAGAAGCTGTAGAAGTAGTCACCATAGCTGATCTCAGGGCTCTTTTCCAGTTTCAGCACATCCAGACGTGAAGCTATTGGCAAGACCTGGCCTGGTTTTCAGATCTCAAATGCAGGCCTCCTGGGGTCTGGCTCTTATTTGCAAGGCTGGCTTATCCTGTTAACAGAATCAGCAGCAGCAATAACTTGCCAACCCCTCCTGCCAGCCCCATGACAAGCCCTTCTTTCTCTGAGCCTAGATCTAACATCTCACCACTTGAGCAGTGAAAGAGTTCCCTGCTGTTGATTGCCTCTTACCATCAGTAATTATGTCCCCAACGTCATCCCTTGTAAATATTATTTAATATTCCCAGGGCACTGTGACATGTTGGTCTCTCTAGCTAATCAGACATTGGCTTGACTGAAATACCATCCCCTGCTGAAGTGACTGGAAACAGTCGAAGTCAAAACCAACAGTGAATCACACCTGCAGACTCAAACATAATGGCAGTGCTCACCTGAGCTGCCCGGAATCCTGGAGCCCTGTGGTCCTTACTCATCTCAATTTCCTGTTGAGCACAGACATCTCAGATCTTATGTCTCCCTCCCCTGGGCAGGATTAGTCCCATTAGACCCATCTGGACCTTTCTTGCTGTGAAGTGGCCATGGTCTGGGTCCTGGTGCTTTCTCCCCCAGAGCCCTGGGCTCCTGCTAGGACTGTCTTGCTGGGATGTGGGATAAGCCAGACATCAAGGCTGTTGCTGGGGCTGCTTGCTCACTGTCCTAGTCCTGCCTTCAGCCCCCCCCCTTGCTGGCCAGGCCTACTCCATCCTGATACAGTCTGGTAGTCTGTGCAGTATTCTCTGACCATAGGCTCCAGGGAGCTCAGGCTGTTAGCAGGCACTCAGCTGTCTGATGTCCGGGACCTGTCAGAATCCAGGGGTCCCCTTTTCTTGGATCTTTGCCTTCTTCCTTCCCCCCTGTCACTTCCCCAAATGTTTACTGCGTGCTGACAGAATTCCATCTTGAAGGGAAACTTGAAAGAATTGCAGGGCCTTCCCCAAAGAGTAGGCAGGGGTGAGGGCAGTGTGGAAGAGGTGTGCATATGGAGAGCATAGTGGGGACCTGTGGAAGAGGCCAGAGGAGCAGTTAGGCCCCTCCTCATCCCACCAACACTTCGCCGGTGTGTGCCACGTCCCAGAGCTTACCTTCCAGTGTGGGGAGCAGATAGGTAACAGAGTATATGAGCAATAAGAAAGTCCTTGGGCTGAGGGAGCAGGGTAAGAGAAATCAAGGGTCCTAGCAGGGTGAGCAGAGATGCTCCCATTTGAACGGGGTCAGTTTTGAGCAAAGATTAGAGAGGAACAAGTCAGGTATCTGGAGGAAGTTGTCTAGGCAGAAGCAGCAGATCACAGGCCCTGGGGCCAGGGGCAAAGGTGAGGATGGGGAGAGCAGAATGACGGAAGTGGGGAATGGTTGAAGGAATCAGGTCGGAGGGGACCGGACTGCCCCCGGCTTAAACCTGTAGTTGAGGTGTTTAGGTCGAAGAGAGGCGTGATCTGACTTGTCTTGACAGCACTGCTCTGTTGGACACAACTGTGGCAGGTAGGGTGGACACAGGAAACCTGTGAGGAGCTAGTGCCACTATCCAGGTGAGAGGTGATCCTCTGACCCAATCAGGGTGAGAACAGTACTCCACCTGCTCTGTGTCTTGATTCAGTTACAGGAAGACTGGGCACCTCCAGAAAGCCAGTCACCCCAATTTCCCTGATGTCACAGACTACCTCTGTGTCTGTCTGCTCTCCCAATCTCTCCGTGAACTCTGACTGCCCTTCTCATTCTCACAGATCCATGTGGGGCAGAGAGGAAGTGTTGTGAGGTCTGTCCCAGGTCTAGGGGACAGGATGACAGTGGAGGACTCGTGATTCTGTTGAACCACTAGATGAGTCAGGCCCCTATCGGCTGTAGTACACCTGTGTGGATGTTCCTGAGGGGCACCAAGGAAGGTCTCTGTGGGACTAACAGTTAGGAGTGGGCGCATGCTTCCTGGTCAGGAGCCACGCAGGCATTTCTTCTAGTAACCGGAACTGGCATGTGTTGGGGCCCTGCTCACGGGACACTGCCCTGGGTCCTTCACCTACTGTCCTCAGTTTAGAGCTCCAGAGCTTAGGGGACGGCGTCATCCTTTCGTAGACAGATAAGGGAGTCAAGGCCAAAGCAGCAGGGCACGTCCTCTCAGCCAGCAGCCCTGGTCACGTGACCTGCTATGTATCCGCAGAGGTTCTGAGGAGACCTGTGCTGTCACTGGGCAAGGCGGTGGGCAGACGCCTGGCCTCTTGCTCATGTTTCACACCTGACTGTGCCCATATTGGGCCTGTGGGCACCCTGGACCAGACACAGGAGGAGGAGTAGCATCAGTCCAGAGAAAGCTCTGTCTGCCCTGTTCCTGTGGACCTCGGGCTACCAGGGGGCTGCCTAGGCCAGAATACCCTGCATGGAAACCTCTCCTCCCTCAGTCCCTGTCCTGCCAGAGTTGCTGGAGAGCTTTGCAGAAGGCTTTTACTTGAGAGAAAGATGCTGCCTGATGAGGGGTAAATTGCTTCTCTGTTGCTGGGAGAGGATACCATGGTTAAGGTGACCTATAGAAGGAAGAAGGGCTTGTTTGGACTTGTAGTTCTGGATGGATGAGTCCAGCACCACCACTCTATAAGCAGGGCAGAGAGAGTGAACTGGGAATGGCATGTGGCTCTTGAAACCTCAAAGCCCACTCTCAGTGACACACTTCCTCCTGCCACACCTCCTAAACCTCCCCAAACAGTGCCACCAACTAGAGACCAAATATTCAAATGCTGGAGACCCTCAGAGACATCTCATTCAAAGCACCACAAGGAGCTTCTGGGGGCTGAGCTGATGACCAGAGGCCAACCTCTGCCACTCCTCAACAAGGCAAGCACTGGTATTCCAAGTGGAGAAGCCTGAGCTGGGAACAGGCAGTGGCAGTGACCAGAGGTCAAGGGATTCTCTATCTGAAGAACGCCACATGTTCTTTCTCTTGAAAAGTGTCCATTTGTACATTTTTCTACTGGTGTCTTCGGGTGGTTTGGAAAAACACACTCACCTTATAAATACTATTTATTTATTTACATATTTGTTTATTTAGAGACAGGATCTCACTAAGTAGCCCTGGCTGGTCTGGAACTCACTGTGTAGACCAGGCTGGCCTCAAACTCACAGAGATCCACCTGCCTCTGTCTCC